TTATTTAAATTCAGGCTGTAATTCACATCTTCCCAAAGTGGCTATTTTTAAGAACATTAAAAAATAAATGATGTCAAACGCCGGTGCGTTAATAGGGCCTTTACTGAGAAGTAAAACTGTTAAACATTTTCAGACACATACCACTGAGAATTAATGTGGAAATCTATTTTAGTGAAACACAGACACCAGAAAAAAAGTGAAGCCATTAAAGGACATTTACACAGACATTTGTTCTGGGGTACTTAAAGAAAAGGAGCTGGACTTTCTTACCTGGTTCGGTGACCGAAACTCTTGGTTACTGTCATTCATATACATGTTGTCACCATCAAACTGTGGACAAAAACAGACAGAAAGAGGAAATAAATATTTTAATTATACAGCAAAGATGTTTAAAAGAAACGTAAGGGTGATGGTGGGGGAGGCGTAGAGAAGAAAAATTCTTTACGGGTGGCCCGAGGTGAGAGACTAATGACTTTGTCACTTTGGTTAAACTGAGTGGTGGCATGGCAGTGTGGGTAATTACTGTTCATCAGCGGGATGGTAATTAGACTACAAGAGCAAAGTGACGATAGACGGGCTTCTCCTTGTGGGTTCTGCTCTCTCCCTCACTCTCTCCCTCTCCCTGTGTCTGTGTGTTTGTACAAGACAGTTTATGTTTACCACACGCTGAGTGTGTGATCTGGCTTTAAGACAGAGGTAATCAGGCATTGAAAGATCACTTGCTGCAGGTGCCAAAACTGTGTTTGACACTGGCTGAAGAATCACAGAACAACAAATGACCCCCCCCCCCAGGCTGCTGGGACACAAGTCTGGGTCAGCAGTGGTGCATTGAATGCAACATGCTAGCTTTGATATCTCGACTGTGTGATGGTGTGGGCTAAATCCCTGAGGAGTCCCCCACTGAGAACAGTAAGTGGACTATACATTTACTGCAGACAGACAGACAAATGGACAGACAGACGGAGAGAGACTGTGGGAGACTGGCAGTAAGTGCGAAAGTGAGAATAAGAAAAAAAAAAATTAACTGTAGCCTCAGAGAAAATCACTTCAGAGCCCATTTTTAGCCATAAAAGAATGTCAAGGTGACTTAATTGCAATGATGTTAAGAGGAACTGTACAGGGAACGGCCATTTACCTCCACCTAACAGGAATCAAGTGTTGTAAGACACTGTTATAGCAAATGTGATTAACCTTAATTTGTGTGGAAAATGAAACTCAGAAGAAATTAAACTCATAAAACAAAAAATCCCCTAATATGATTGAGTAATGGACCAATATAAGTGTTTGGGTGTTTATTTCATTTTCTAGTGGTCAGTATGATTTCAGTTGATTTCAGATTCACGCTGCTCCAGGATCAGCTAGCAGGAGACTGATTGTATGAAAATATACATTTTCTAATTAAAAATGTGTTGTGTTGCAGAACACAATTTAATAATTATTATGAAACCAATTGAGTATAGATTGATATTAACCAATAATACAGCAGACAGGATTATTCGATCAACTCCTCCTGCAGGGGAGCTGGAAAGAGCTTTCTGTTTCAACATTTAAAAAATCACACGCGACCTTTGAACATATTTGTTTGAAGATTCGGGTCATTTTGGGAAAGGATTTCAAGGAAATGAAAAACAAAGGAAAAGCAGCAGACACAACATGATCAAAGCAGATGATATTTCATGTTAAATTCCTTAGATGAGTAGATAGAAGGGGTCTGTTTCATTTGAGGTGGGGGTGGGAGGTGATCTGCCTTGTGCCTACAGAGATGGTTTGCAAGATGCCAAGCGAGATAAACACACGCCGGGTACGAACACAAAATGGAACAGAAAATAATACCTGTCCAAAACAAGGTCCATCTAGGTCGGACTAATGGACGGAAATGTGTAGAATTCCTGGGGGGTGAAATCTAATATCTTCAGAGGTAGACAGGAAAATGTCGAAGTAGCTAAATGAGCATGTGAGTGTTGAGGAAAAGAAATTACTGCACATTACAGTCGGCAAAAGACCAGGGGAATAAATGAATGCCTCCAGGGCATGGGTTGGTTAACGATGCATGGCATGGAGGCCCTGGTGAGGATTCACTTGGTTATTCTAATGATTACAGTCATGTTTGTACTCATGTGTAAACACAGAACTGAGACGTTCACACCCGGCATGAAAACCCACTCCAGGACACACTTTAGTGAAAAATACTGATCTGTGTCAAGCCAAGCTGAATGCTGACTAACTGTTCCAGGCTGTGTCAGAGGGAGAGAGATGCTGAGGTGCTTAATTAGGCGTGGAGGCATTTATCAGGATGGGAAGTGAAAGTATCACAATGAGAGAGATGAAGTGACGTTGACCTTTGTGACATATCTGCGGTACGGTCTTGGCTCCTCACATGGAAGTCTTACAACGTCCTGCCTGAGCAATTTCCTGCGTCCATTCAGATCAACACTGATGTCAATGATGTTAACTGACATGCTAATAAAACAATGCTAATAAACCACGAGTTTGGTATTTTTACACACAACTTTTACTTTCTACATTAAAATAAATAATAAGTTTGGTTTGTATATAAAAAATATAATGCATTTTGATGCCTCTTCCTTTTCCTGCAGGGGGTGCTATTATTACAGTTGTAATGGCCTAGATAGTGAATCGAATGCCCGGGTACAATGTTTTTCATGTTACTCTAAACATGTACAACTACTTTCCATAGAATATATATTATACATAGAACACAGAGTTTTTAATCACATCAAATCAAAGAACCAGTGTATTTGCTGCATCATTATAAATTTACACCATTTTTAAAATCCATTTCAATTATATTCTACTGCAAATATTTGTTGGAAAGACACACAGTTCTAAAATTCTTATAACACATGACGTAATTTTGTTTAAAGGCCAAAGACAAACCTGAAGGTCAGCCATTTTGTGTTTCAACATGGCTGCTCATATATTGCAATGTAAAGCAGTTCCCCTGTGCTCTTCTCTCAATAGCTCTCCTATGCACTATACCTCCCTCTCTCACTTATAATACCAATTTATCCTCGGTTCAACGTTATCATCTCTGCCAGTGCTGCACATTTAGCACGGGAATTATTTCTTCTTTTTCTTTCCTTTCTTTCTTGTCGTCTTTCACTCCTCTGTCTCTCACTTCTTCATTTCTCCTCTGTCTTCCCCTGTCTTTCCCATGTTTTCATCTTCTCCACCATTCTCCATACAACATCCTCCATCTCAGTTCTCCAGCTCCCTTCCTCCCTATCTTTCATTTACCCCCTCATCTCTCACTCTCTCTCCTTCTCTTTCGGCAGTGGGCCCTGGCGTCGCTTTCTCATCGGCAGTCTAATTGGGCATTCTGCCTGAGACAAGGGCCTCATTAAGCAGTAATTACACACATGTTGTTTTCGGCAAACATCTCTATTTGGATTGCTTTGCATGGTAATTGCCTCTGCTGGCGATGTTTCCCTCCATGACACACGTGGTGCTGTGAGAGAAGAATAAAAATGCGTAGAAGAAGGATGGAGGAAGGAGACAGTGTGAGTGGAAATAGAGAAAAATAATTACAGGCTGTGAAAGATGGACAATTTAAGAAATAAAGAATGCATACAGCAGAGAGGATGTTTAAGAGTGAAAGAGAGACAGATGAAAGAGACTAAAAAAGAGTGAAGATAATGCCGAGGTGGTGAAGAGAAACGCAAAGACAATGAATAAATGACAAAGAGATACTCCGACTAATTTAGTGTGAGGAGAAAATGAACAAAAAAAAAAGCCTGGGAGAGTGAGTATATGAAGAAGAAAAGTGGAGAAAGTAAAGATAGAAAAATATGAAGTGAGAGTGAGTCCCAGAACTAGGTCATGCCTTGCCATCATCGACAAAGCAGAGTATTTCAAAAATAATGAATCCACAAGGTGGAAGTAATGCTAACTAGCATATCCAGGGAAAACATGCAATATTTACGCAGCACTAATGGTGCGACGCAACACTCGGATCTTTTCATCTCAAAGTGAACCAGTGAAGACGTTTGATGGTAGGATTGGAGGCAAAAAGAATTACAGGCTCAATTGAAGCTTGTTTTTTGATTGATGGACAATTCATATAGGCTCCTCATAAAGGCTGCGAGGCAGCATCTGTTTGAGATAAACTGCTTGTTTGTCTGTGTGATGCCATAAATGTCCAGTCATTAGAGAGAAAAATGATCTGGTTATAATAAAAAAAACAACTCATTTTGAAAGCTAAGAATGTAATGATCTATCCATTAGTTGACATGACACACATGATAGGACCTAACCAAACACAAAACAAAGCTATGGTGCTAATGATTATTTTATGTATTGTGTGTGATCTGATCTAGTGATTAAAGGACTAATTCAAACATTTCATCAATGTCCTTGCGTTGGGAGTCATCACCAGAGTAGGAGAAAGTTTTGTCTATAAAATATTCACATTTACTACAAGAGTGGCATATTTATGGCTTTTGATTTTACTGCAGCCAATGCATTAAGATTAACCATTGCAAAAAATACCCATTTACTGACCAGTGAACTGGCATTTAAGCCCTGTGAACTAAACAGTGTCACGGATTTGAACTACTCACTGTTTGTTTTAACCACATCCAAAGACTTGTAAGAATTAAAAGGCATGGCATAATGAGAAAAAAAATCTATATCCTGGTGAGCTAGTGGACATAGTCCCTGGTTCTCGTTCTTCTTCTGCAGAAGACAATGTCTGTTTTGAAAAATTACATCTAGAAATAATTGTCACACACTTTTGCAGTGTGTCTAATCCAAGGCTAATTTCTCTAATCTGTCATTTTGTATTGACCTTATTGAACAGTCTAGTGCTAACTATGCTTTAACCATTTGAAGAAACCGCAGCAACAACTTCCTCAATAAAATACATTTAAAAATTAAAGTAAAATTGTTAACATTAAGCAAAAAGATTTAGTAACACACTATTAGTCAGGGTTTGGAGCTGACAAGGTGTCTATCGCAGAATTAATAGCCAGAATGACAAGAGGCAGTTCATGATATTGAAATGCATTGTGGGAGAAATAGTTTATGGTAAATAAATAAATAAAACACATCAGTATCAAGCGGAATTAGAGTATTAGAATTGTGCATTGAAGACAGCATACTGAGTTTTGACTGTAGACTGGGCCACATATTAGGAAGGAACGGGCCGGATCTGGCCCACAGGCCTTGGGTTTGACACGTCTGCTTATTATCTATGCTTTGAAGTTCAAATTAAATTAGATAAGAACAGATCTGTCCAGTTTTTGCAGTGTTACATTTTTATGCACACACACTATTCACCTCCAGGTGTGCCGTCTTCACCTAGTAAGCTG